ATGGAGCTAAAACTACTGCTACCACGAACGTATTTTAAATCCTATAAAACGAAAGCCATACCAACAGTAAACAAAGTCCAACTACATTTCTCCTTTGACATTTAATACTAAATATAGACTGCCATTGTTTTGTACATTTAAACTAATAAAGTATTTTACATGAATCTTAAATAATTTACCTATCCACAATTACGTTTCAATGTTCAAAGTGAAAACAATCGCACCGACTTCTGCGCTCCATCACTCAGCTGCAAATAATAAAAAAAACATCATGACTGTGGTCAAATCCTGAGCTGAAGGCTTATTTTGATGCACTACTGGTTGACCTGACAGGAAATTAAAGTAAGCCACTTAAAGCCCAAGAAAGTACATCGTCTTACACACTCTTAAATAAAAAATGACCACCTGACCTATGGCATATTCAGAGACTTAGTAAAGATGCAATGAATTATATTTAAGGTGTTATCCAACACTTTTAAATGTGTCTGTTTAATTTTCTCAACACAACATTGCAAGATACAGCAAAGTCTGTAAGAATACATATTTAAGTAAGAAGACCCACATATGCAACTGACATTTATACCTGCCAGAGTCAATTAGACGTGGGACCAGTATGCCCACAGAACTGTTGAGTACAGCACTGTCCTGCTGAATGCTGCTTCAACTAATACCAAGATTTCCAGCCCATTGTGTTGCCCAAATGACTGCCCTACAAACCCCCTACAGTGGCAAATTCTGTGCACATGTCCATAAGGTCGCCGCTGTCCTGGTGGAATTCACCATTACACCGTGTGTTGGATGACTCCGAGCATGTTCAAAACACAAAGCAATGAATGATTTTATCAAAACAGCCAAGTAAGTCTTCAGAGCTGCCTCGCCCCTGCATTTCAACCCAAGCATTATTTGTTGGTGTCCATCTCCAGGAACTCCTGGTCCTGAAGGAGGGCACCTAGGGGGAGCCCTATAGGTTGGCTGTGGTATGTATTGACAAGCTCTACGAACTGAAACATAGCGGACAAGTTCAGGATGCCACTGGGCCACCAGCGTCCGCTGAAGCTAGCACATGTGCATCTCAATTGCCTCGACCAAAGTGGCAATCAAACCAAGCAAAACAAGGACATTTAACACTTCGAGTGGATCTGCCAACTGCACAAAGGATCTTCAGAAGACCATATTCTTGCTCGTGGAGAAGAGCATATCTACAGTAGATGTTCAAGCTTCTGTGAATGACTGTCTCTAAAGACAAAGTGCTTTACCTGCAGGTGGAGGACTTCATTTGCATCACCTTCTTGAAGTGATCTAGAAGATCCTTTGAGAAGTGCATATTTTTGCACAAGACAGATCCGCAAAATATTTCTGAGGGCCACCGGCAAGGGGGTTCTCATCTGCTACAGCACCTGATGCCCAAGCACAAAGGTAGCCATTGTAGTAGCAGTAACTGTCAGCTTGTCAATACAAGTGTCGACTGTGAAATTTAGTGCCTCTAAAAGGTATCTTGCCCTGGAAGGTTACAGCCACCCCACCACAGAGCTGATACATCTTTCAATGAAGGCAGCATAGGCACCCATTATGTGAGTCAACAGGTATGCCACCTCACGACCACACTAGAATTCTCTGTCCAGGCTCCTCTTAATGGCCTCTGACAATAGGTTGGCTGCCAGGGTGCTGCCCAGTCGCTACAAAATCGAGCAGATGAGCAGAGCACATGTCAATACACCCGGTCCAGGGCTCTGCCACAGGAACAGACCCTCTTCATTAAGAGAGATGGAAGAAACAAGAACATAAAATGAATACAAGGTAGAAGAAATTATGTGAAACCAGTGCAGAGACACGGAGTGGAGGAGGTGAAGCGTTCCAGAGAAGGTTCTCAGCATGGCCTAGTGCTCACCTGAATAATATTATCGTTTTGACTGTGAGTGCTGCAGGGCCATACAAAATGCATATTTGAACAATATGGGCCCAAACAGTAATAATTGCAGACAGTTTCCAACAACATTTAAAAAAATGCAAAGTTTGCAATGTAGTGCTTATCATTAAATATAATTACACTCATTTACCCAAGATATAGATGTTATCACATGTTCATATTAACAAATTATTTTAAATGAGGACATCCTATTAAGCTTGAAGAAAGAAATGTATACAGTACTGTATCTTGCCTTGTCTTCCAAAATATTTTTGCAATATAGTAAATACCTGAAAATTACTGCATACAGCTTTCTACGGGACTTTGACGTGGTCACGTAAATTACCATCTGAGATATACAGTATAACAGGCTTTTTAACAGAAACAAAGAAATCACCAAGGTAACTTATGACACAGTGAGCAATGTACACATCGCAGTTCCACATCCGATGTCGCACGCTGTTCAACTGTTGTTGGTGAGCCTGCTCACTGGCCCCCCAGGCGTCTCGCCATGCCCCCCCCCCCCCACAGGGTCTCGAGCAGCTGGTGCAGGCACCGAGGCCCATTCACTGTTGCCCTCCTCTCCTGCAGGCATGATGAACCTAGGCCAACTCCAGATCTTGCTGTTGCCCAGCGTATATCGCTGCTCCGCCATCAACCCTGAGAATGCACATCCAATATCTTCAGTGACCCACACACCACTGGTCCGATCCCCCTGACTTGGGTTGACCTCACACACCCCCTGCCATGCACCCCTGCAGAGGCTGTTCCCAAGTCCTTGGTCGCCATCTTTCTGGCTCGGGTGTAATGCTGGTCACCGGGGGTTCATTACTGGAGCCGGCTATAGCATGCTCAGGGGCTGGCCCCTTCGGAAAGAGACACCTTACTCCTGAGAAGCATAAGTAGGCTTGCTTGGGCGGTGTTGATGGATCTATGAGGGGTCAGCGGAAGAGAGCGTTGGCATTCCAGTGACTCTGGTCAGCCTGGTACCAGTTGCATGGGGTCTTCGTAACACCACACCTGCGCAGAAGTAACACAAGACTGGCTGACGGGATATTCAGTCAGTGGTCTCCTCGCCAGCCTTGGGATTTGCCTGAAAGACCAACCTCCACAAGGCCTCAGCGTGACTACAGAAGTCCTCGTTGAGGCCCCTTTCCTGCTCTTCAAGCGCTCCCCCGGGCATCATGCTTGCTCATCTCAGCAAATATTTCCAGCAGCCAGTTGCACAGTGTGGTCAGGTCATTGCGCACTCCCACTAGCAGGTCATCCACATATTCTCCAGCTGGGCCATCCACGTTGGCCAGGAGGTGGCCCGGAGTCTGCTCATCAGTCCATGTGTTGGCAGGTTCGATCGTTTGCAGGTTGCGGAAGGTCACCCAGTGAGGAATCCTTTCCCCCATGAAGATGTTATGCAACTGGGCTTCTGTTCACAGCTGGGCTGCTGGAGCTGCTGGGTCAGCCATAGCTGGGCTGGCCCACTCTTGGGGTTTCAGCTGGGAGGTAGGCTGGTGGACTGACACCAACTTTGCAGTGCCACACCCTGAGACACTGTTAGGATGTCCCCCAGGACATTCTCTCTGATTTCCCCCTTTCTGGAGGTACCCCTCTATCCCCAGTCGATTTCAACAATTTAATAACATGGGAATCGGTGCTATGCTGAAAGCTGCAAACGATTGAATAAATTCCAGAACAATTTTGAATTGATAGAATTAATCCAAAATGTTTTGATTCGGAATCCTTTAAAAATCGAAAATAGATATAGCGTGTAGTGTCACAATCGCGATTTTGCAGGGAAATTGTAGCACTGTAACTGCTCCCCCCCGTGCTCCCCTCCCCTCGAACCCGGCTGCTCGCACGTGGAAAACCCTACTTAATACACGCAGTCACCTACACCAACCCATTTTGCATCTGCCTGAATTGCAATAGCACTTTACACCGCGAGCTAACCTCACCACTAATGCTAACTAACACTAACACACTGAATACCAAGTTAGTTTACACTAACGAGCTCACCAAAACTAAACTATTTTAAATTTTACCAGGTAAGGTCCACTGAGCTATTTATCTCTTTTTCAGAAGCGACTTGGCCACAAATGATAGCTGAACGAAGTGGCTTATCACGTGGAAATGTATAGCGGCCAAATACTCTAAACGAACGTTTATTCTAAATGTGGAGAGAAAAACCAAAGGACCCGGATAAAAAATTAACGTGACCACATCGAAAACATGCAAACTCCAAATATATAGGCGACAGGGTCGGGATCGAACCCATGACCTCCTGCATTTCAAGCGAAATAGTTAACATGTCACCACTGTAGTGCCCCTAAAAACTTCCCATCAATAATCTCAGCAGTACAGACACCCCTGAGGCAGGAGGGTGGGAGGTAATGTGCAACTAATTGCTGTTCTTCCTCAAGGCATACTTCACATGCTTTGAATGTGAAATACAAACCAATTTTACTCTCATAAGGCATCCACTTGTTTTTTTGTACAGTTTGATAGTACTAAATTACACATTTGGTAGGACATCTAATCTCCTCAGCGGATCCAGAATTTGACTCCTCAGCCACCTCAAGAGCAACCACCACACCTGATGGACGTCATCCTCGAACCTCGAGGGACTGCCAACGACGAATCTACCAACTAGACATACACCAGCTAACCCGGGACATCAGCCTCCAAGCCTCACCTCCCCCGCTTGTCCCCAGCATTCACCCCCTCCCTCCTCACTTCCCATCACCCGCCCCTTATAACCAACCCCTCACCCACCTGAGTGCCCCCCAGCCCCTTCTCAACAGGTGGGTTGCCGGGAATCTCCAATGGCAACCAGCCCGTGGCACCAGATCACAGGTGTAAAAACAAATGCCCTTGAGAGGAAAAGTATTGGCAACCTTTTAGCCGAAACACGCTGTGAAAATCTTCACGAAAGTATGGCCCCGATATTTTTCTTCATCTCAGCGGTGGTGTTTTATTCATACCACAGAATTATGTTCACAGTTGTGGATTTTTAGTCTGTTTTTTTTCGCAACAATCCATGAGAAGATTAAAAAGAACAATTTAATCTCCCATGGCAGTGTTTTTATGTTTTACATACCTGTAGATTTTTGAACTCCTTTTCCCTGATCAGCGAGTGCTTTAAAACATACGGAAATAAAATGCCAAAGTCAGATCTGAATCACAGTACTACATCCACATAAATGCAAGCCTTCATTGAATTTAAAATGCCATGCTCGGAGGGAAACAAAATGCCAATTATTATTATATGACTATTACTACCAGTTACAATAAATATTTAAGAAGTTTTAGAATGACACTCCCAATATTGAATATAAATGATAAAAAAAATTGGGTCTCACCATACAACAACAAAAAGGAGGATAATATTGAATTATTTAAATATTCAAAAAATAATCACTTTAACACGATAGTTGGGATGCTGCTCCTGAAGAACAGATTATACGTACATCGGTCCTGGCATGTTGATGAGGAATCTAAAATGAAATCTTATTACATAAGAAAATTCATTCATATTTTTTGTTCATAAACCAGGCATGTGCCTTCATGTGTCCATCGCACTCATGCACCGCCATGCAGATGGCTACTAGCATCTACGCTATTAACCCTAATGCTGACCTTTTATAACATTGCCGAGCGTGGAGAGAGACTGGTTGATCATGCAGCCTTCCTTAAGTCTTTCCCTGGCGGCCCCAGTGTTGCCTGCTCGCTCGCTGCAAAGGGTCCGAGCACAAGCGGATAATGCAACACGGATCAACATGCAGCAACCGGGCCTTACGAGCTTTGTTTAATGTATAAAATCGGACAATTGGAATCTCAGATGGATGTCATTTTTATTTTTATACTGCACAGATGTTACTATGTGACAGATATTTCCACTTGAAAAACTTTCTGGGAATTCATTTTATAATACAGTGAGGTTTTATAAAAGCCAAACAATCCAAAATGAATAGACCAAATTAGTAATTTAATAGCATAGTCTTTTTTTTATACATTTAATTTTTGCAATTTCAAGTGCAATTAAATATATAAAACAGAATCTTCTTAACTCTGGAAGTATTGTCATTTAGTTGTAATTTTCTAATTTGAACCTTGAGCTTTGACAACAGTTTTGTATAGCTCGCACATTTATTTTATGACACCATAGTCTCAAGCACTCATGTTAACATGATCATAAAAAAATATCTGTTGTGCATTAATCATATGCAGCATGTCACGTGGCATGAACCATACTGTTGATTATGACATGGAGAAGCAATGCAAATGCAGTACTGTATACTGCCGTTCTGTTTCAACTGCAGCATGTGTCTTAATGTGGGCACAAAACAATTCCATATGTTGAACCCATGTTGGCGTAATGTTGCCTTGGCAACAATACAATGTAGATAACAAATTATCACGAACCATATGTGAAACAAAAATAGATATCCTACACAAGTGGGTCACTGAAAATATAGGAATATCATGTTCGGGTTATGGGAATACAGTATTTAAATGCATGGGAACAGGTATATAATGGATATAAATTGCATAATGTTATATAAATAAAGAAAAACGAACAAAATAAACCCATGGAAACTGCCTACACGAGGACCACTTGCAGTGATCTTAGTTTTCCAATGTTATGAATGAAAACATGGTTGCATTACATATTGTATTGACAGACACAACTATACTTAAGTTTTCAACTCCATGACATCGGCAGACAGACCACTATTTTGACAGATGCATGACACAATGGAGTGCTTAACATTGTGGTGTGTATATTTTTTGGTTAAGAAAAATAAATATAAACATCTGCAATAATAGTGCTATTAATTTTTGCATAAACACGTTTAAAATGTTTTATAAGACAGTGAGGGAAAAAAATACAAATGAGAAAAACTAAAAAAGCCACTTGCATGTAAAATAATATTCTATGGTTCTTTTGGTAAAGTCACGTAGATAGAAAAATGATAACAATAAAATAACAAAAATAAAAATAAAGTAAATAAAAAATAATAAAATATCACGACGTTTCGATCGCAACACAAGCGGTCGTCATCAGGAACAAGGAGGTTAGCCTCTGAGGGCAAGCTGTTTATAAAGGTTTAGTGATGGGCAGGGCAGCTAATGTTAATGTAGGCGGGGCTGGTACATCAGCATTCAGTCCTTGTTGGACCAAATCTTCAATTATTGCAATGGTATCGGTCACAGGAATTTTGGTGAACAGAGCAACTACATCGAAACTAACGAGCAAATCACCTGGGGGCAGTGAGATGTCTTTAATTGACGATACCAGGTGAGCTGAGTTAAGAACAGAGGAGGTGGTCTTACCAGTGAATGGCTGCAAGGTCTCAGACAGATATCGGGCCAGTTTGTAGGTGGGTGAGCCAATGGTGGAGACGATGGGACGAAGGGGTGTACCTTCTTTATGGATTTTTGGTAAGCCATGTCGTCTGGGTGGTCTAGCAGCAGAAGGTTTTAAGGAAAACCGTTTGGTCTGTTCAATTAATGAGGCTAAATCAGTGATGATACTGTTCGTGCTAGTAACGAGACAGTTGGTGGGATCTCTTTTAATTATTGTGTAGCTGCCATCATTAAGTAGGTCCTGAATTTTGTTATTGTACACGTTTTTGTCCATGATGACCGTGGCATTGCCCTTGTCGGCTGAGAGGATGACGATATCTTCCCTCTTTTACATTTTTTATCGTGATTCTTTTTCTATCTACATGACTTTACCGAAAGAACCATAGAATATGAATTCCTGCAGTCACGAAAGTAAGATAATATTGGTATTTTTAACCATGTTACAAAACACAGAAAATTATCGTAATGGGAAACAGTTTGTATGTATTTTGAACTTCTTTCGCACCGTACATAGCCAACCGTGCTCATTAGAGGTGCATGGAAGGACAACAAACTAAATACAAAAAGCAGTTAAACAAAAGTTTTCAATCTAGATGATTTAAGAGTACATAGCTCCAGTGGCTTCCTAATATCGATAGGAAGAGTGTATGCAGAACAGTGGAACATTTTAAAATGAGGTCAAGGTAATCAAGCACTCAGGGGTGGGGTAGTAATGTAGCGGTAACCGTACCACGCTACGAACCCAGTAACCTGAGTTCTATTCCCGGTCACGACTAAGATCAAAAGCGAGTGATATCTGAATCCAGTCCCAAGGCCCTCGCTCCACCCAACCCGCACTGACCAACGTGATGAAGAACGGCGAAAACAACATGGCCAATATAGCAGAGGCAGGCCTTCATCCAATTGTGCATTAATAAATGGCTACACATTATTATTCGTATACAACGAATCACCCAGCAAATGAAGTGTTTGCTCGAGCTTTGGTGAGCAGGTAACCTGGGTCGTGGCATGGCAGTCCATGAGAAACATATAATGGAAACAGTGTCAGTCATAATCAAATTGGGGTTGAGGTTTCATTTTGCATTCGCCGAGGTCATAGATGCTGGTTTTGTTATGGAGTTACCTGCCAGCCAGGTCCACGATGTTGATGGTTGAGGACTTCTGCAGGGTGTGGCCACCGTCGCTCACTGCCTTCTGCACGAAGGTGATGGCAACAATGGTGTGCGCCCGACTGCAACATTTAAGAGATTAATGTGTAGTTTCACCACATTTGAACTACTCATATGGTATAATCATGTACACTGATATGGGTGCCCCTTGTATCAATGGAAAAACGTCTTCAATATCTACACCTCTGTCCACTCAGCAGTTTAAATGGGTACACAGTCGTTCGGCTGGCTGAGTGTGGTTAAGAAAAGTGTGGGTACTCGCACATTTTCAAGGATGTTGGCTACTGTGGAAGAAAAGGTATAAAAATACCCTCGAGGGCTTAATTTTTTGGAGGTATTTCCTCCAGCAGTTGCATGAGGAATAAATTGCAGGGCTGCACCTTTGCATGTACCTTTACCATATTATAAATCATTGATGCATAAAGTAGGCATTAGAGGCTGCTGTGGGGCGAGCTTGTGGGTATCAAAGGGCAGTGCAGAAACATCCATTGTTGTACTGTACTATCCTCTCATATATATGGGTTAAAAAAACACATGAGTCTCCACACGTGGGGAGGCCTTCATCCAGCAGTTGGTTGACAAAATAGTCATACATGTACTTGTTATATGTGCTCGTCTTAAAATATTGTGCCTACAACATTACGTTTGAGTTTGAGGACGGTTCGTTGTATTGAATACATATTTTTACGCGGAATAATACGGAACTTAATCTTGAGGTAAGAATAAGGAGGCAATGTCAAAACTTAAATGAAACAAACATGAAAGATGAGATGACATATTACACGAAATAATACATGTATTTTAGCAGCAGGAAGCTTCTTTTGTGGTTGCTTTGTTAAAGTCTCTAACCCAGAGTAGACTCCTGTCTCACTCATATTTTAAACATTACAGTTTACCACTTCGCTTTCATAAAGTAGCTTACCATTGGAAGTGAGAATGTGGAAATAAGAGGCAATGGCGTTGAATATTAAGTGATGATGTGCATCATTTTAAGATATCTTCGATCACTACTACTACGGTTACTGTTCCCAAGATTCCTCCACCTGTGTCAGACTCAGTATACCAAAGTTACCGTTTCTTCTCATCCACTGTGTTCTACCACCACACTATAGACCAAAACACGTCTGTTTAGAATGTAGGCTTTTGCGACCAATATCATCCATAATACAGTTTGTTTTTGGGTTAGATCTTGTAAATATATAAATGTGTCGTTAAACCCACCACCACCTGACACAGCCAATTAGTAAGGGTTGTCACGTAAACAGAACATGCCAATTACATGACAAACCTTACTTATTGGCTGTGTCGGGTGGTGGCAGGTATAACGACACATATATTTACGCGATCTAACCCAAGAAAAACTGTTTTATGGACATAACACGTCTGTCTCTGCTTCTACCCTCGCACTGCGCAACTTTGAAATTCCTTCCCATTGTCTTTTTTCCCAAGCTCTTATACCTTGCTTAATTGAAGAAAGGTGTTAACTCCTATCTGTTGCAACATTAATGTTGCTGTTTGTTGCTGGCTTCTTGAAGTTCTGGGCTATTGGTCCTGTGCTCAGCAACCGTGTAATAACCAATGCTATTGGCATTTATATAGTGTATATATAAGTACAATTAACAAAATTTTTATTTGGTTTGACTCAAGCTGACTTAACAATAGCAATGCATTTGATGTTGGATTTAAGATTTTGGGAATATGAATATGCAATTTGTGAATGAAATATAATTGTCAAAATTTCTGCTTCGACTTTTGATGCACAAATCCAATTTGAACTGCTCATTTGTTAAAATTAGTCTCTACTGACACCAACCACAGACTCCAGTGTTCCGATGATAACAGCCACCCTCTGTACACTCATTGATGCATTGCTGTTGATTGTATTGCACAGACATATTCATCGCTGTGTATTTAGAGGGCACAGAAAGTCTGGACCTGCTAGTGGCGTTCATGTGTGTAGCAGCAATCGTCCGGTTCCGTGTCCCTTCTTGAATTCGACTGTCAATGTCGCCGTAGCTCCCAACAGGCACCGTTAACAAGTTCTCCACTGCAATACAGAAGAAATAAACATGGTAGCATTTTAGAACTGCTTCTAAAATTAATGCATAGAACACTCAAGGAATTACTTACTGTTACCATGGAAGCATGTACAATATGTTGCGTGGTATTTATCGGGAGATTAGAAAAAAACACTCTTCTTAGGCATTTTAACAATAGATTAAAGGGTTTAGAGATATCTACGGGAACCTGTTTGTCAGTATCAAGATGATGAAATAAAAAAGAATAGGCTTTATCCTTTCTGGCAAGAATACGGGCGTTAAGATGTAAAAACACCAAATAGACACCTATCACAAGGCATCAAATCTGCATTAACCACACATAGGACAAAGGGTTTAGACATCTCAATGCTCTTGCTACATTGTGAATTATAAAGCAAGGCGACAATTTATAATGAGCTTACAATGTACCACTTTTGACTATTTGATTTTCTCCCAAACAATCTTTACTCAACAAATGTTTGTGGGCACCTTATATCTACACTTTTGTGAATTCTGAGCTGCTATTGGCAAGAAACAGGTCTTATGCACATTTTCTGGAACTATATTTCTTTGCACAAATGTGCAATTTCAAAATCATGTCTCTTGAGGAAAAACCCCAACGTAGGAAAACGTAAATCGGTAACCTTGCTTGCAGTGGCCTGAATTTCTCCCACAGTCTCACCACAAATATGGCTAATCCTATTTTTGGAGCGTTACTACTGCTCTTGCGTGGGTGCATGCCCACTCCTACTCACCAAAGAACCCGTGGTCAACTTTCTCCCTGATGCGCAGACCTCCTTGTCTCCCGCTTTGTGGATTCAAAAGGTCCCGTACTTGCTCATTGTAGATCTCCACCATGCTGAGAGACACCTGGGGCGAGACACCAGCCAGAGGCCACGAGACACTTGTTTGTTATTGAGCAGACACAAAGACGGGTGACTATCAAAGTTGTCTGTAAAGCAGTCGTGCATTTGTGCCTTGTCTGGAAACGTCTCCACAAATGAAAACAACACAGCAGCAGATGTAGCAATAGTGCTGGAGTCGTTAAAACGTGATTCAGAGCTTCTAGACATTACTGAAATAGACTTCTTTATATATCTAATGTGGATAATGTAATAAAGTGAAGAATCTCATTCAGCTGGGATAAAGTAAGATTTTTTTTGGAAAATCCAAATGTAATGCTAGATTGTTTTTGCCAATAATGCACAGAATTTCATAATTGCCATGACAGATTTCATTTCATGTCAAAGAAAACACCTGTGCATGGACATATGTAAAAATAAGAAAACAATAATCAGATGATGTTTTTAAATATGTTTATGGAAAATGTGATTGCTGTACACCATCTCAATTGGGTTACTTACAACTTAACTGCGCCTATTTGTTATTAAAATAACTTCTAGAAATATTTTGACTCCACACCACATATATATACATTTTCATGGTTACTAAATCGGATTTGTCTCATACTGGATCTGCTTTAAAAAATATAAACATGAATGTACGTATTTAAAACTGGTTTAAAATATATTGACACGGTTGCGGCTTCATTGCTGAAGTATACACCGATTTAAAACATCAGATTATAGAAATAGTTTTTTGGAGTTTACTTTGATGCATACACATAAAATATTAACGTATTTTACACATGTAAAACAGGACAACGTGAATTCATGTTGCACACTTAATAAACAACTATTTTATGCTCTTATTGTGTCGCCAGTGTTTCTGTGGTACATGCATTTTTGGTGGTGTACGAGTTGAAGGCAAAAAGTGCGCACATTGAAAGGAAGACGTAAGCAGTAAAACAGCTGTGGTTGCCGTTACACTGTATAATTGACCCAGTTGGATGCTCTGCTAAGCCTTGCACAGCTTAAGAAATTCAACCGAGGTGTGGAGTAAATCACCTTAGAGAATATACATTACATATTACAGTGTATTACATATGTATGTTGAGCTTCTTTCGCACCGTACGTAGCCAACCGTGCTAATCGGAGGTGCGGGGAAAGGATAACAAATTAAACACAAACAGCAATTAGAAATTATTCGTTTTTAATCGAGATGGTCTACATACTGACGTTTCGTCTGTATTCTCCCATTAATACTGTTGAAATTTGTAAATATATCAGATGTAGAACTTACAGTGCAGAGCAGTGATATCATTTCAGTTACTACACCATTCAACAGTATACACATGGAAATGAGCCAATATGCAACCGAAGATATAGAGATGTATTAAAACTGCCAAATATTATCTTCGACTGTTTTTTACTATAGGACATACAGTCAAGTTCGGATAGTTTCCGGGCACAATTTATGACTACTTTGCAAAAGCAGCATATTTTTTAACTCGTTAATCAAGGGCATATTATTTTGATTTGGAGCCAAATGAATCTACTGATAATATTATTTGCGCAAAACGTGCTTGTATTAAATACATCCTACTCTCCTATTTGTCAGTGCTTTCTTTATAATGGCATTCTGCAGCCTTTGACAATATTGACCTACAGTGAGGGAAAAAAGTATTTGATCCCCTGCTGATTTTGTACGTTTGCCCACTGACAAAGAAATGGTAGGTTTATTTGAACAGTGAGAGACAGAATAACAACATAATCCAGAAAAACGCATGTCAAAAATGTTATGAATTGATTTGCGTTTTAATGAGGGAAAAAAGTATTTGACTCCCTCTCAATCAGAAAGATTTCTGGCTCCCAGGTGTCTTTTATACAGGTAACGAGCTGAGATTAGGAGCACACTCTTAAAGGGAGTGCTCCTAATCTTAGCTTGTTACCTGTATAAAAAACACCTGTTCACAGAAGCAATCAATCAGATTCCAAACTCTCCACCATGGCCAAGACCAAAGAGCTCTCCAAGGATGTCAGAGACAAAATTGTAGACCTACACAAGGCTGGAATGGGCTACAAAACCCTCACCAAGCAAGGTGACAACAGTTGGTGCGATTATTCATAAATGGAAGAAACACAAAAGAACTGTCAATCTCCCTCAGCCTGGGGCTCCATGCAAGATCTCACCTCGTGGAGTTGCAATGATCATGAGAATGGTGAGGAATCAGCCCATAAATACACGGGAGGATCTTGTCAATGATCTCAAGGCAGCTGGGACCATAGTCACCAAGAAAACAGTTGGTAACACACTACGCCGTGAAGGACTGAAATCCTGCAGCGCCCGCAAGGTTCCCCTGCTCAAGAAAGCACATATACATGCCCGTCTGAAGTTTGCCAATGAACATCTGAATGATTCAGAGGACAACTGGGTGAAAGTGTTGTGGTCAGATGAGACCAAAATGGAGCTCTTTGGCATCAACTCAACTCGCCATATTTGGAGGAGGAGGAATGCTGCCTATCACCCCAAAAACACCATCCCCACCATCAAACATGGAAGTGGAAATATGCTTTGGGGGTGTTTTTCTGCTAAGGGGACAGGACAACTTCACTGCATCAAAGGGACGATGGACGGGACCATGTACCGTCAAATCTTGGGTGAGAACCTCCTTCCCTCAGCCAGTGCATTGAAAATGGGTCGTGGATGGGTATTCCAGCATGACACTGACCCAAAACACACGGACAAGGCAACAAAGGAGTGGCTCAAGAAGAAGCACATTAAGGTCCTGGAATGGCCTAGCCAGTCTCCAGACATTAATCCCATAGAAAATCTGTGGAGGGAGCTGAAGGTTCGAGTTGCCAAACGTCAGCCTCGAAACCTTGATAACTTGGAGAAGATCTGCAAAGAGGAGTGGGACAAAATCCCTCCTGAGATGTGTGCAAACCTGGTGGCCAACTACAAGAAACGTCTGACCTCTGTGATTGCCAACAAGGGTTTTGCCACCAAGTACTAAGTCTTGTTTTGCCGAGGGGTCAAATACTTATTTCCGTCATAAAAATGCAAATCAATTTATAACATTTTTGATATGCATTTTTCTGGATTTTGTTGTTGTTATTTTGTCTCTCACTGTTCAAATAAACATACCATTACAATTATAGACTGATCATTTCTTTGTCAGTGGGCAAACGTACAAAATCAGCAGGGGATCAAAAACTTTTTTCCTCATTGTAACAGTCCCATTATCAGGGTGGCACTTGGGGGATTTCCCCTGCTGCTTTTTTAAACCCAGAACCGAGCTTTCAGTTGTCATTGGGGGGGTAGGGGAATACATGACCCCCCCTGGATAAAATACTTTGAATTTACAATGTCAGGATTGAGCCTGATAATGCTTGGTGGATAGCCCACATTGTCTTGCCAGGGCCAAGCTGCTATACACTTAATCGCATTTCATAGCAGTGTAAAATTCATATATCAGCTCTGTTTACATGAAAGTCTAGAAAAACGGTCTGTTGCTCAGAAAAATACAGAAGGTGTATCTTCTGGTGTAACACTTATCGGCGGATGACCTTTGTTTAACTTCCCGTTTCTCCTCTGCTGATTTAGGGGGAAGGGAAGCTTTGAGTATCACCCTCTTAAATGTGGGGAGTTTCCGCTGTGTAGTCTGGGTTTCTTCCACAATAAATCACTGACTGGAATTCGGCCAAACATCCCATTGTAGCAGGACTCTCCTAAAAACGTCTCTTGAGACTCAGTGAGACTTCCAAATATAAATGCATTGCTTATTAAAATACATTACACATTAAGGCCATATCACCTGTTATGTGTTCAACGACTATTATTTTCAGTTGTCTGTAAATCTGTTATTGGATGAAGACCTCATGCTCTGTTGGGTGGCGATGGAAACTGGTTGACCATACTTCACTACTCAGGCCAATACGTGTAGGTGAAAGCCTTTCTAATTCATCCCTCCCACTGGAAAATTGACGAATCTCTCCATGCGCATTGCATTAATACATTGTTGAAAATACGCTTGGCACAAGATTCGGAATAGTGGAAATAAATATACATTCCAAGTAATAAATTTCTTTCCTTTTTCCTGTGGAAAAAGTAACCACGAGTCTATGTAGAACTGTATATATACAGCATAACCTATATGAATACACGAAATATAATTTCAAATTAATGCGTGGGTATTTAATTATAGTCTTCAAAATTAGTCGGTCATCCCTTAAAAAGCTGAAATGATTTAGAAAGAAAAGAGATGATTCTCATCTTTCGGAGGTTTTTTTTTTAAAATCGGATGTGGGGTAGAAAAGAGTAAAAAACGTGGGAAAATATATTTAATTCTGAACCAGGGAAATTATGCCAAATCATCGTTATCAGCAAATTATCAACTTCTGGATGAAAGCCTCCCCACGTCACCGTTATCCCTCATTGTCCTGCAATGTCACAATACATATCCTGCACATGAGCTGATAGCATTGCTCCATCTCTGAGAGCTGCCCGCTGAAGCTTTCTCTCTCTTTTGGCTGCCATCCCATCACCAATCTCATCTATTTTCTTCGAGCGATGTATCCTGCTCAATCCACTTTTTTTTTCACAGGCAACATGATTTCTGATTTTCATTAATTCCCTGTTCCATGTGTTCTTGTAGAAAAGTAATTCCATGATTATGGACATATTTTGTTAGTTTTAGTTCCATGAGGGAATATTAATTGATTGGAAAAAATGTTTTATTGAGGCAAGTTGGTACTGTATGTCTTTATGGGTGGCAATTGGAACATTATTTTAATCTAAAACATACTTTGTTCCTGGTATGAATATATTTAAGTTATAGATATCTCTATAAAATTGCTCCACTGATTTTAAGATTTTTACAATCTATTATGCATTCTGGTTTCTTATTTCTCTCTTCGGGTTACTATTTCATTGCTTCATATGACATGTCGAATAATTTTCGTGTGATAGTAGTGGGCTGTAACTGCGTTGTAGTTGTGGTGATTTGGCGTTGGAGATTGTGATTGTATTGGTTGCTGCTGGAGTGAACTATGATGTATTTCCCCTGTTATGTAGGTATCTTCACCAACCTGCACTGACTGTTAGGGTGAAGAATGGCCACATAACAACCCCATGACCAACAGTGTGGGGAAGCGTTCATCCAGCAGTATATTAACCCAGGGCTGTACACTAACAGAATCACCACCACAGCAGCAGACGAGTTTTAAGTTTGTCAGGGGAAAGTGGAGTAATTGCTTTGTGCCATCACCACCAGTAAGTATGGTTTGCAAGCAAACCACACTACCCAATATGGCATGGTTCAGAAACGTGGTAATTCCTGAAATATATAGAACAAAAACTGAAAATTGTACAAATAAGCATTGAGATACGCATGCTTGGAATTGCGATGAGACAGAAAGAGGAAGACATGGATCAGAGAACATTCTCATGTAAATTAATATCAAAACTATGAATAAAAGTGCAGTAAACTAGGCTTGGTAAGGACACGTTGCTACAAGAAATGATGGACGATAGTTAAGAATAATAATGGGCAAGAACACGTCCGAGAGCACATCCACAGCGGAGATGGGGCGGTTAAATCTGTTTTTGTTTCGGTTCTGGGTGTATTGTTTCATTGCAGAATCATGGGAGGTGGTAGTGGCTTGGGGAGGTCTTGATGCATTCAGCAGTGGACTAACCATGGAAGATGATGAGAAAGCCCAAAAGATTAACATTTCAAAAGTAGAATTATATGTAAAACTACTTTCAATGTATTACATTTTGGACACTTATCAGCTTGCAATACACACAAATGTAATTTAAAATTGGCCCAAAATGTTAAAATTCTGCAAAATGATCTCCAAACTACTCAATTGGTAAAACACATAACAACATCGCCCCCTACTGCGAGAACTTGTCAGGCACATCCTGAAAGAGTGGAGAGTAAAAATCTAGATTTGAAGTTTTCGTGATTGCAGGGATCCATACTCTTTGGTTCTCTCGGTAAAATCACGTAGGTATAAAATAAAACAAAATAAATTAAATCACGACGTTTCGGGCGCAACACAAGCGTCCGTCGTCAGGTGGGACAACCAGAGCAAGAAACAATTGCTGAAGTGGGCAAAAGGGCTGCTGTAACAAGAGGCTATATAGGTAAGAGAGGGGGGGAGTGAAGAGCAGCTAAAAGGGATTAAAGGGCGAGCAACGACAAAATGTCGGGGGGGGGGGGGTGTGGAGTGGGCGGAGCTGAGAGTGGGAGGTTGAAGAGAACTGGAGATGCGGATATGAAGGCAACACCATAAAGCAGTTAAAGTTTTACCTGGTTAATAACGTCCTTCCAATGATAGCTCAATTTGTATCTATCTTCTCGGTTGAAGTTATGTCTATGTTTATATATCTGGATGGCTTCATGAACAAATATTTGATAGTAGCCCAAAGGTTTGCAGAGCACACTGGTCTCGGAAAAAAACAATATCATGAGAGCCCACAGCGTTATAGCAATGGTCAGCCACGGCGGAGGTATTAGTTATGCCGTGTTTCAGATCTGACATGTGCTCGCGAACACGGTCCGAGATATGTCGTATCGTTTCCCCAATGTAACAATCACCACAGGTACAACTTAATTTGTAGACTCCAGGATATTGTATGTCAGGAATGACATCCTTCACATATGGGATTAAATCACGGGTTTTGTGTACTGTACTGAATCGTACCTGGATCTTGTGTTTGTTTAAGATTTTGGAAATCTTTTTGGTAACACCTGCTATGTATGGTAACGTGATGGTTTTGATAGGCGTCTCAGGGGGTTGTTTCTCCATGGTTGGAGAATCAGCTTTGCGAATAATGTGGTCCGAATACCCATTCATCTTGAGGGCCTGATGTATGTGTTCCAGTTCACTGGCTAGGTGGTGTTGGTCAGAAATGCAGTGGAAGAGATATGTAGATGACACTTTCGTCATTTGGCCACATGGCCTGCCAGCATTGAACCAATTTCTCAACCACATAAATTCCATACACCCATCCATCAAATTCACCATGGAAGTGGAGAAGGATGGTGAGCTACCATTCCTGGATGTTTTGTTTGAGAAGAGACCTGATGGCTCGTTGGGACACTCTATCTGAAACCTGATTCCTACCACCATCCGGCACAGAAGAATTCCCTCATCAAAACACTACACCATAGGGCCCACTGCATTTCTGACCAACACCACCTAGCCAGTGAACTGGAACACGTACACCAGGCCCTTAAGATGAATGGATATTCGGACCACATTATCCGCAAAGCTGTTTCTCCAACCATGGAGAAACAACCCCCTGAGACACTGATCAAAACCATCACGTTACCATACATAGCAGGCGTTACCAAAAATATTTCCAGAATCTTAAACAAACACAAGATCCAGGTCCGATTCAGTACAGTACACAAAATCCGTGATCTAATCTCATCTGTGAAGGATGTCATTCCTGACATGCAATATCCTGGAGTCTACAAACTAAGTTGCACCTGTGGTGATTGTTACATTGGGGAAACGAAACGACATGTCTCGGACCGTGTTCGCGAGCACAAGCCAGATCTGAAACACGGCAGAACTAATACCTCCGCCGTGGCTGACCATTGCTATAACGCTGTGGGCTCTCATGATATTGTTTTTTCCCGAGACCAAGGTGCTCTGCAAACCTTCGGGCTACTATCAAAGGTTTGTTCATGAAGCCATCCAGATATATCAACGTAGACATAACTTCAACTGAGAAGATGGATACAAATTGAGCAATCATTGGAAGGATATTATTAACCAGGTAAAACCTTAAATGCTTTATGGTGTTGCCTTCATATCCGCATCTCCAGTTTCTCTTCAACCTCCCACTCCCAGCCCCACCAACTCCCCACCCCCCCCACCGACATTTTGTCGTTGTTCGCCCTTTAATCCCTTCTAGCTGCTCTTCACACGGCAGCGCTCCACTCCCCCTACCCCACCCCTCTCTCTGTCTCTCCTCCCTGGTTCCTACCCCCCCCCCTCTCTTACCTATATAGCCTCTTGTTACAGCAGCCCATTTTCCCACTTCAGCAATTGTTTCTTGCTGTGGTTGTCCCACCTGATGCCGAAAGCTTGTGTTGCGCCCGAAACGTCGTGATTTAATTTATTTTGTTTTATTTTATACCTACGTGACTTTACCGAAAGAACCAAAGAGAGTGGAGAGTAAGGCTTTCCTGCGTTACATGATTACAGTATGACAGTACTTTAAACTTTAATAGCGAGCCAAATGCATACATATGCACTTTACATACAATTCATTATTGTATATAATGTTAAAGCAGTGCAGGCTCGTGTTGTCATTGTGATAGTATGTATGCATATGCGTCGCTTCACTGCATATATGCTCGTATATCGCGTACGGCACACTAATTTCTTCCAGATGGAGGAGCCCAATGTGTTTCCTGTTAACGTGGTTCAACATTCCTTTCCAATTACACTGACGTTTAGCCTCGGGAGCCCCGATTCTCCATACACCCACCTCACGGGGAACCAATGCCCCCTGCTGGTCCCCGTAGCAGTTGATGTTGGCTTTCTAAAGCATGGGCACCTTTAAACAATGTGTTAAGCTTTACTCTTTGGTTCTTTCGGTAAAGTCACGTAGGTAGAAAAAAAATAGATCACGACGTTTCGATCGCAACACAAGCGACCTTCTTCAGGTTAAGCTTTGTTGACCACCATCAAAGGTCATTAATTTCAACACTTCCATTTCAGATTTAGCTACGTATAGTTCTCATTTTCCCAAATGTTAACTTCAATACAGTACAGCAATTACAAATGTCTGAATATTCTGCGTTCTTAAATTGAGAATCACATTCCACTTACCTGAAATTCTGTGCCTTCTGCTGCAGATTCTTGCTTTCGCTCAATGTCTTCAAAGAGACGCTCACAAAATAAGGGCAAGATGCCTAACACACAGGAACCCTCAGTTATTTATTCTCACTGTGTTTACAACATGCATTCAACATTACAAGGTTGAATTATGATCAAGTCGTACATATACTTCATATTAGACCGTATAATAATTATAAGGTTTTCAATTATCTTTATTTTGTGAACAATACTCATGACGATGGCTGCAAAGTTTTCCAATGATTATTCCTGTTTATTTTAGAACATGAGTGTTGCTTTCTTGTGCCATACCTTTGTTTGCCGAGCCACCAACAACAGAGTAGGTCTTTCCCGAGCCAGTCTGGCCATAAGCAAAGAGCGAACAGTTGTATCCATTCCAAGCGTTTTCCAAAATTCCTTCCCCCAGGTCGGAAAACACGCGTTTCTAATTCACAGAAGTTAACACATTTGTGCACACGTGCATACTCGCCATGGTTAATTTTATTGCAACACGAAGTTATTGTAGATACACATATTTAGTCATAAAAACGTATTTAACGGTGCAAATTGGTTACAAAAATAAATGTATTTCATTGCTAAGAACGTTCCATTTTTTTCTCAATGCAGTTTATGGTATGTTTAAAGTGGAAAAACATACATAAATAGGAATGATATCCAATAACCGTTGTACATTGTTCTTGTCACAATTGAAAATTAACATTTAAAATGCAGAAAAGCATATCTGACACTAATGATGCACCGAGGATCTGGAGTTGTATTACCCGCCTGACAGCAAATGTTAAGCAGCTCACCTGGTCAGCAAATTGCTCATTCTCTGGTGCTAAGTAACCATTTTCCTGGGCAACAAAACCATCATGTGACCAGTAACTGTAGTCAAATGTGAACGTCTTCACGTCTGCATCCCCGGAACGGGGTTTAATTATCCGAGTGGTATTTCCTTCCATGCTGATAATTATGGAGGCCCCACGGGTCTTTTCTCGTTCATTGTGAGCACACACACAAACCATTAAGGAAAACACATCACTCAAGGTATGAGGCATGAGCAACATTCATTGTACACAAAAGACTTTGGGCAAATTTTAGGCTATGCGCTTTTATGGGGAACCCCCCCCCCCATTATTTATCAAGAACGTAGTTGCAGGCCTCAAAATTCTAAGCGTGTTCGGTACTGTGAGCGGGATCTCACAGGCGTGTTACAATCGTATAATTTACGAGCTTGAAATGCGTGCTTTATTATTAAGCTAGATGGGTAAAAACTTAAATAATGTACAATAACACCAGCATTGAATGACAAGTTGATAAAGCCGTGCAATATAAACTTTGAAGAAAAGCATTTACAACACTTTTCTCTGTATAAAAAAAATATTGCCCACACGTTTGCAAAAAAACTTTTTTTTTAATCGTTAAAATATATTTTACATTTAGAATTTGTATGGAACTTTTCACCAACACAATACATTTTGGTTCATATTCTATTAATTGACATTTTAAACGATATTAAGATTATATTACAAAGCTGTACATTTGATCACATTTCACAAACCAAAGGATATGAATGGTCTGACCCGCACCGCCACTTTTATATTTTCAGTCATCTTCGTTGGTTCGAAGGTGGTTGAAATGCTTCGGGCTGCACCAATAGTAGTACAACGTATGACCCAAGGACTCCTCAACAGCTCACAAGCCAGCCAGGTTTGACGCCCAAGTTTCGTGCGCAGCGAACACTGGAACACTTTAAGGTGTCGCAAGACACGACTTGTGTTACACTGAAACAAAGATTGCCGCTTCCCAGCAACTGTCACGGATCACTTTCAAAACAAAGTTTCTTATTTAGACCCTCTCACCTTCCCCGCATTTCTAAATGTATATACAGTATATATATTTGCTCAATAACCGATGTTATACTTAGAAATCATAAGTATATATATTTTTTAATAAATGTAGTGTAATGTAACATTAAGACACTAAGAATTGGCATTGTATTCTTAAATACTCAATGTTTCGTTCTCATGACCATCATCAGTCATTGTCTATCCACTGCTGGATGATGGCCTCACCATACGTCACCATCAATCAGTCCAGCACTACGACTACAATAAATATCACTTCTGCACATGAGCTGATCTCATTGCGATGACGTATTAAAAACGTGGACAACGATAGAGAGGATTGAATACAACCTTAAAATATGCACAAATAAGTTTGGAGAGAATACAAATAAAGAGCGCATGTAACAAAGAACAAATGCAATAGTATCTTATTTTGCATAAGTGGAATTGAGCAGGATGCATTACTAGACTGGATGGCTGATGGACGACATTGGTGTTGGAATGACAGCCAAAGGAGATAACGCACCCGAGAGGATAGCCAACACAGAGATAAAGCGATGAGAAAATGTGTATATGCCGATGGCTTGTGGAATTGCAGGACCGTGAGAGACAGTGATGGCTTGGGGAATCCAGCAGTGGATTGGCCATTGTTCATGATGGTAGGTTATCAGTTGTATGGTTCTTAAATGTATGTTACTCTCTGAACAGATTAGGCCTCCACAATCTTCACAAACGATGCTACTAATTGGAGGTACAGGGGGACAACAAACGAAAAACAAAAAGCAGTTCTAAAAGAATGAGTTTTCAATCTAGATTTAAAAGTGCATAGCTCGAGTGCCTTACAAATATTGCAAGAGCATTCTAAAAGGCTGCAGAAGTGCATCTGAAAGCACACGATGTAGTGACCCTCTTTGTTCGATGGTGAGACAAAAGCCACTGCGAGGATGACCAGAATTTGCGAGGATGACCAATTGAACAGTTACAATGATGCACAAGTCAACAGGGCACTGAATGCCAGAATTAAATTAAATCACACGAGAGTGGAAACTGACCAAGTAATTTAAAATAATTAAATACCGTAAATTGCGGGAGTAACTTAACTCGCCAGATTTTGGGAAAAACAAAACATCCGAGTCAGATTTGGCATGGGACATAAAATACAAAAGCTAATATCTGGTACTAAAGATGTATTACCGAAGCTATCAACAGAAGGTGTGTATCGGATTAATTGCACTTGTGGCAAATACTATGTTGGGCAGACACAACGAATGATCAGCACGAGACTAAAAGAACACCAAAGGAATATTAAATACTCCCAAATACAATTGTCGGCAGTGGCAGAACATGCGTGCCAAAAGGACACTCAATTGACTTTGATAAAGTTTAAGTTCTGTGCAAAACTAGTTACTAGTGGCCAATACTAATTAATCTATCTAAATTTATATATTTTTTTATATACTGTTCGAATAGCTACAAGCTTAGTGCTGCTTGAAAGCGAATAATCAAATAATACATTGTTTAAATGCATGCTTATACGTTGTGGATTACCTGTGCACAAACAATAATAGGTACTGCTATTTTAGTGCCCACAAACGTCAGGAAATACAAGAACAATGTGCATGCGTAATGTGAATAATCCAACTGGTAATGGATACCCATTGTAATGTATATGCATTCATTAATCCCCCCCTTCGCACGTGAAGGGCTCACAAGTGACGTCATCAAATATATTCCTAAGGAACGAAACAGGATCTCTCCACAAATCTGGCTGTCCGCCTGATGATGCAAGTTGCAATTACTGGCAAAACGTCATACTCGGGTTGTAAATGTTGTGGATTTGCCCTCCAACACACCGGTGTGCTGTACTAGCAACGATGTGGCATGTTCTGTTTACGTGAAAAACATAATTGGCCTTGTCGGGTGGTGGTGGGTTCAACGACACATTTATATTTATGCGATCTAACCCAAAACACATTATGGGTATTGTGGTTAATTTGTGGCAATGACTTTTTGTGCAATGAGTGCGACCTTATGATGCATACTTGTAAAGTATTGTAAACAGTTGCGATTCAAGTGGGTTATGAACGAGTGTACATTATCAGGATAATTGTTCACACGCCAGTTATTGTTGGCAGCTAAACATGTTAGGTGTTTTATGAACATTATACAAAGCCACAACAACGTACAAAACACGCATAGATCGACAGGAATGGCTGTATTTGACAGGTGCAACTGAATTTATTCTTTAAAATTTTTAAACACACCAAAACAGCAAAATAAGAACGTATTTGAATGTAGCAAACATACAATTCCAATGTTTACTGCCCTTGTAATGAATAAAAAAACAAATGCATGGTAACTTTTTCATAAGATAGAAATACTTAAAAAACGAAAATAATTAAGATTGTCAATAAGACAGCAAAACGTCACAAAAATTTCACCAATTACCTTAAATCATTTTCATTATCTTTGGAACTATTCAGAGGCCAATACAACTTTCCACATTTGAGTATAATTACTTTTTTAAAGTTCTGTATGTAGTCCATTGTCTAGAATGTCTTGGACATCATGTTGCCCAGTAAAGTATTTGAGCATTCACAGCTTTTCACCTAAGCTGAACCTCAACTTAAAAAAATATCATACCCCCACAAAGTTAATATAACAGTTTCCTTGAAATGTCCAAAAATATCCTAATAGATAATAATTTAATACCTTCTAAGTATCTTGCCAGTAAATTTCAAATGTAGCAATGTTGCACCTACAAGCTGAATGTATTTTAAATTGGTGATGTAGCAAACATTACATATGTAAATCAGGTAGTCAACTGATCACTATGGAACATAGTACTTTGGAGAATGGGTTGTGTGACATTTGAACCTTATGGTGGGACCCCAGGGTCCCGAATAAACAGAAGTCAAAATCATAATTAATTTTTGGCGACTGTGTCCCACCGTGCACATAAACGCCGCGACCCACCAGAAATAAATCCTCTCGTTCTTCACAAAGCACCCGTCGTTGCCAAAATTGCCGTAGTCATGAACAAAACTTTGAAACTTTGATTAGCGCATCATGGAGAGCTGGTCGAGAGGGATAGATTGCCGTATCGTTTGCCTTCAACAGACATAAAATGACGTCGCAACGCAGTTTATGCGAGAGCCGGGGGCTTATGGGACCCCGGGGTCCCGCCATAAGGTTAATTTGTGCTGTATATCATTATCTACAGCACTATAAGAAAAAACATTGGTTTATTATCATTTAACATTGCTATATTGAAAGGAATGTTTTCTAACCCCTGCAATTTAGCTAATGCATGGTTTACTATCCACATTTGCTAATCTAAAGACATCAGTTTTGACCACCACGACACATGAGTCTTAGGGTGTTTTAACAATTATACTATTAACTAATAGAAAGTGCAAAAAAGTAAAGCACAAGTGATGGAAACAGAAGAAACCCAGCTTTATATACTGTAGGTAGTCTAATATGGAGCATTTTCAGTAAAACAATGAGTAAATATTGAGGATACTTTTATACTTAAAAGCATGTTTGTATATTCCTTATCACGTTCGCCAGCTGTATACCACATGCACAATTGCAAATAATGAACACTCAATGCACGCCAAGACATTAGACCAGTAAATGAGTGAAAAACTTAATAAAATTACTTCACATCCATAAACTATAAATACTTTCCAAAAGTACGGAATAAAATAATAACTTTTGAGTTTAAGACCCTGATTGCAGCATGGCAATAAGTTGGATTCACATGGTCATGTGCTCAGGCAGGACGTAGGAGATGTCATCCCATGGGTGGCGATAGAGACCCTGCTTCAGGCGCTTCTGGTCCAGAAAATGCCCTGTGTAGTAAACACAAAGTGAAGCTTTGTTGGTGAAATCACACCCAGGCAGAGGCAAAACAAAGATACATTTGCACAATAATTTAAATGTAACGAGCAAACTTAGAGTGCCGTATAAGCGCGATTGCGACACATTTTGAATTGTAACTATAAATGTGCAAGGTATGAAAAAACCTAAACTCAAGTTACCAATAAAGCCCATGCTTCTACCCAAGACGAAGATTCCATTGAGTGCTCCGATCTCCACATACTCATCCGCCTCCTCCCTGAAATTACAACAATATTCAAATCTACAAAGAATACAGCGAAGGAAAATCAGACATGACAACGAAGTCAATAATCACAATAAATAAACTTCTCCATCTGAATTAAATTGTCAGAGCAGGTTACCTTGTGAAGCTTCCACAGCTCCTCAGCAAATCAACAAACACCACACCAATCAGGCCATCCACATTCAGGATCAAGTTGGGTTTCTAAATTGGATGATACAGATGCACAGTTGTAAAGATCTTGCAGTGAAAACAAACCCAGTGAAGTAATAGGGAAGACCAGCCATCTTGCATCAAATCAAAAGCTACTTTTATAAAGATATATGAACTTTAATTTGTTTTGTTGGAGACATAAATGTGTTGTACAAAATAAGATGCATCCAAGCGGGCTTTCAATCAGTTTTAAGGAATACAAATTGAAATAAACAAAACGTGAAATACAAATAAATGTAGCAGATACCAACTGTAAGGACGTTATTATCATCTCGTTCACACCTTGGATGTGGTGATCTTCTCCACCTCCAGGGCATAGTCTAGCAGTGGTGTTGCCGGGAATTTTTGTTGCGCATACTCCTTCAAGATCTGTACCCGCACGTCTGGATTGTTAATCTGTGGGTGTGCACAAAGGTTAATATTATTCCACTGACAATTGTTATTGCCAATATTGTCATTATTTATACAAGTGGCATTTACATTTCAAAACTACCAACAGTGCAAAAATAAATTCGCACCATGTTCATGATCATCATATTCACACTATTAATTATAAATAAAAGCACTTAGCAAGTAGTAATGATAATTGTGCAATATTTCTGCTTTTGTTGCACCAGCCACTACTTACAGACTTGACACGGTGGCCAATGCCCATGATCAGCTTTCCTTCCTTTTTCATCTTATTAACAAAGTCCATGGGGATCTGACCGCTGTCAAATGCATGGCTGAACTGTTTAGCTGCTGCATCCAGAGCTCCTCCAAAACGATCACCCTGTTTGCAGGGGAAAGAATCAAACAGACCAAATGTTATATTTTAATGCACGGACATATTTTTTAAGTGAAAACATGAAACCAGTTAATAAATTAGACACATAATTATCCCACCACTTAACATACTCTTTTAGGAACCAGTGTGAATAGACCTGAGTATGAGGGCAGGAGTAGAGGGAGACAGAAGGTGAGATGGAAGGATGTGAAATGAGATTTGAAGACGGTGGATGTGTTTAGAGAAGAGGCGCGGAATAGAAATGTGTGGAGATATAAAATTAAAGCAGCCGTGGCCATGCAATAATATGACTTTCGGCTTATAGTCCATGAGCCGAGAGCAGTTATTTCACTTGCCGGTACCACTTGAGGTGGCCTAACTTTAGTGGTTCCAGTTTTAGTGTGGCAAATGACAGTGAATTATGTGCTAAACATTTAAAATGAGTGGGTTATCAAGTAATTCACTACTAGCCGTATAAATAAATTGGTACTACTAAAGATATGGTTGCCATTTTGAATCTGGCTCATGGTCTATTAGAAGGTGGTATGAAGAGGCAGCTCTGCTGTGAAGGGACTCACAATGGTGAGCAGCCCGGAGGTGAGGCTGGACACCAGGTCCTTGCCTGCGCGAGCACACACGATTGTGTTGTGAGCGCCTGACACGGCAGGGCCGTGGTCAGCCGTCACCATGAGACACATCTCAATGAACTTGCTGGCGTATTTGGGCAAGCTGCACACGGAAGCATAAGCAACGTCATTTTCCTTCCAAGCATTGCATATCCTATAATAATTATGCATTACGTTTAATGTCTTATTTCACGGAAACGTCAAGAGAAACAAATGCATTTATGTATGTGAATAATTTAATTAAGTACAAAATTTACTAAGATGTTAAAAGTCAAATATCATCACTTCTCACCAAACAGCGCCCTTCATGGGTAGCTAATTTATATTCATGCAACTTTATTTAATAACGTCTAGTGATGAATATTTTACATAGACAGTGTATGTAACACGGGCATTGCTACAATGTGCATATTTGTACGATGGAATAGCGCTGATAATACTATGCAAATAAGCACAATTAAAATTGGTAAAAGTCTAGTTATGAAAACATTTGGTACCATAGGTTTCCTTTGCAAGGGTAGGAAAAAAACTGTTGCTATACAGTCGACAAGGAAATTACATCTCGTGAAGCATACCTGCGCTGGAACCAAAGGAGGCCGAGTACCCCACCCAGGCCAATATCCTCCTTGAATACCTCCGTGATGGGCATGCCCGCGTAGACCAACTCCTGGCCACGCTCATCGCAGATGCTTGTCATGAAGGATGCTGGCTTGCGGATGAGGCCCAGTTCCTGCGTAAATATACAATTGTAAAAACAGCCTCAATAATTTGTTTGCCTGTAAACGGCTTCATGACTACAGGTTTAAATGTATACATTTATTTGTATCATACAGTAATTGCAGGATATCTGAACAGCTGGACATAAGCTGGGAATGCACACGCACCCTGGCCCAGGAGTAATCCATGGGTACAGTTGGAGGAGGCACTTCTGGTGCTGGGACGATCACTCCTTGCTGCACAAGGTCGTCATACACAGCCCTAACAGCACAAAGCATTCATGTTAGCGTTCAACATATACAAACTTTTAACGTGCACTATTGTTTATTCTACATTGACAATAAGCTATGAATTTTAATATCATAAAACGCCTTTTGGCGTACTCTGGTCTAACACCGTTTTGAGACTAAGAAAGCTGTCTCTGGTGTGGACCAATCATTTTCAAAGAATTCATATATTATCAGTGTTTTTTTGTTTGCATTCTGACCACAAGTATCGTGGTTAATGCAGACATGATTCCTTGTATAAGGTTTCAGTTTGGTGTTTTAACATCTTAACACCTGTTGCCAGAAAAAAGGGGACAACCTATTCTCATCATAAAACTTGCTTTATTTTATCTCCTAGTTCATCAAAGTTGTTTGGGACATAAGCCCCCGCTTCAGTCAAAGCTGCGTTCTTGGCGACAGCAGTCTCAGAGTCTTGATTGGCACAGGCGCCTGCATGGCCAAACTGGACCTGGGCACAATAGGAAATTCCAAAAACATAAACACGAAGAACGTCAGAAAATACAATAAAAAGGCATAGAAATATTTCGTACAATTATTGTAAACCAAACATTTTTATATGTATCCATGTTTTTATCTCATATGTATACAATATCCCAATAAAAATGTATTTTACTGTGCATTTGTTACAATTAAGTACTTTCATATAAAATGTTTGAGTTATTTAATTACTTCAGATGTAAACATCGTGGCACAGGTTCCAATGCACCACGCCACCACAGGTTTAGTCACACGGCCTTCCTTGATGTCCTGGCAAATCTTGTACTCCTCTGTGCCCCCCACCTGCCGTACAATAAAACATATGCGATGAATATAGCAACCCGATCATGCTATTAATTAACGAAATTAGATCGCAAGAAAAATTTGATGTACCTCTCCCAGCAAGACGATCATCTTTACTTCAGGAGTGTCTTGATATCGGAGCACATGCTCAATGAAAGTGGAGCCAGGGTATCTGCAGTAATAAATGAAAAAAACTGAAATGATTCATGTATAAAACAGGCTCAAATGTAAATGTGAGTTAAGCCAGCTGTACTGGTCACAATTCTAAAAGCTGCATCACAACCCAAAACAAATCCCTGTTACCCTCTAGGAACATAGTGAGAAAGGCTATAATTTTCACACCTGTCCCCACCGATCGCCACACCCTCATACACGCCGTCTGTTGTGCGCGAGATAATGTTGTTGAGCTCGTTTGACATTCCGCCGGAGCGAGACACGTATGCCACACTGCCCGGGCGGTACAGCTTGGAGGCTAGGATGTTGTCCAGCATGCCACCCGTGTTCCCGATCTTAAAGCAGCCTGGCTTGATCCCACCAACCTGGAAACATAACATTCAATGAAGTACGCAAAGTCAGTCAAATATGTTATGAAGACATTTAGGAATAACGTGTAAATAACAGCTGATAAACAGCAGTGCTAATAGGCGCACTTCGTTTACCGTGGCGGGTCCGATGATGGTGACGCCCTTCTCATCCGCCATTTTTATCAGCTTCCGAGTGAGCGCCTCTGGAATACCTTCGGCAATAATTGCAATTGTGTGAATCTGCACACAAATGACAAGAGTGCACAACACAAGGAGACATAAAATAGTGTTTTTCAAAAGTTAATTAAAAGAGCTTATTAAATGTTTAACTCCAACTTCACAATTTCCAATGAATGAATACTCGAAAATGAGAGGTGCACCTGTGGAAAGCCCAACGTTTCCACCGTGCTGTCATAGGCAGAACGCAGAGAAGCAAAGCTGATGAGAACGTCCACATCGGAATGCTTCTTCATAGCCTCAGCCATGCTCTTGTAGACTGGAATCAGGATCTCCTTATGGCCCCAGTAGAATTTCTGCTTATGGTCACCACTGCTCACAATATAAAAAGTCAAAGTAACAAGATAATTATTCTTGGCTGCAAAAGGTAGTAAGACTAAAAGAGAATACAGATCTAAGCATGTGCCTCAAACTGTCAGATTTATTTAAGGATTCCATTTTGAGTACAAATCATTGGTCATGTGCGATTAACCAAGTTTAAAACAATATAAAAAGTGTGGGTTTGTGCACAAATGCAGGGTCCTGTTTCAAAACCTTTGATTTTATTTGCCATTATGTCAGCATATTTATTTTAAGGCAACTAAACCTGTTGGGAAATATATTGATGCTTGCTGTTTACTCACGTGAAAGGGTAGACCATGGCAGCAACAGAGGGCTCCTCACGGGAGCACACATAGTCAAAGTCCAGCATGCCCTGCACAGCACGTGTCTGCATCCCCCAGATTATGGACTTGGTATGATTCCCAAACAGTTTTGTCAGTTTACCTGTGAAAAACAAAGTGAAAATTATACATACACATCATACATTTTTGGAATTAAAATATAAAACCATTTAATCTGTCAAGAACATATAAACTTACTAAAAGTTTAATTATGTTTACACCTATGGAAGTTAATGTCCTATTAATATAATAATTGATGGTTTAATGCGATATATTCACAAAATTGCAAGCCCAAATTATGAAAAAGCAGAACCTAGCATTATATTCACATTTTATTATGTGGGATGGCACACACATTGCTCTAAATATGAAGTTTACAAGACTCATTTTGAGAAGTAACTCACGAGGGGTGGCTGCACCAGGGTGCTCCCCAGACATGCACCTGTGCCTGCGGCCCTGGCTCCTGTTACCCTCTGAAACAGAGCCCTTTCGACTCGCAGCAGGTGTATTCTGTGGATGGATGAAAATCATATGGATTGTCGACATGACCAATACGCGGTCTTGCCACGATTCATACGCGGTTTCTACATAAACCATACAGTTTGAAATGCCAACATTGCAAAAGACTTCAACTTGTCAACAAGAGAGACAATCATAATGGTATAGATTAAATATTTAATATTTTGCTACATTTATATCAACATATCATATTACAGTGATAATTTAAATACTTGTGATGTTAGCAAATAAAAACCAAAACTTGACATTTATATAAATTCATGGATTGCACATTTTACAAGAGGCTTACTTACATATCTAAAGTGTACAGTGTCTATATCTTAAGCAAAATTAATTATTTAATTGAGTTATCATCAACTTCAATGTAAACAACCTACAGAATCTATTAATGTTAATACATAATTAGGACCTGATTTACTTGTTGGAAAAAAATGTGCATCGCCAAAATGTGGCTAATTGCCATGGTAGTATGCGTCAGATTTTTTTCATTGGTATTGACACCTATTCCCAATTTTTTGACATCTCATTATCGCTTTTGAACTTGAAATATTGCTATATTGCATAACTCAATGTTCATAGTGAATACATATTCTACACTGGCAAGCAACAAAGATAATTGCTATGAAATACGAACCTAAATCCAGCCATGGATAGACAGATGAATACATAAATAGCATTCATCTTGTGACAATTTTTTTGTTTAAATCAGATTACTATTTGATGAAACATCATTGCCCACATCATCGATGTAGCACATTAGAAACTACATTTCTTTACAGTGCGCAGATCAACTCATAGACAACACACTTGCTCGGAGATGTGAATTTAGCAAAGATGCAAAAAACATAAATTGGAATTAGCCAATGCCCTCACTGGTATACCAACATTTTTGGAACGATAGCTTTGTTTGGTTAATTTTTAAATTGCCACTTTCCTGTATTGGATCAACTGTAATACAATTTCTGATTGTAGATAATAATATTCATAGAAGATACACAATTTTAAGCATATAAAAAAATCTAGGAATAAAAGTTGCATGTGTTGAGTCTCACTGCGGATTGCGTGCTAGCATTCAGGAGAAAGTTGGCAGTGTGAGCCTCCGCTGGCGTGGTGTCCGGGATGGGCCGCAGCCCCAGCGCCATTCCCACTATGGCCGTCATGTGCGTCTCCGTGCCGAACACATGGATTGGAATGCCTGTTGTCTGACCTGTTGGTGATATGCATAAGAAATAGCCGCACAAAAATCAACTCACTCAGTGCAATGCATTTAATTTACTCATTCGATTTTGTTTTTAAATAGTTTAGCTTTTTAATGTTAATAATTCTGGAATTTAGGCTCAGGATTATCTGTGGTTCAGCAAAGATGTCTGGTGATTTTATTTTATTTATACAGTAAACCCTTGTTAATTCAACACATATGGGGCTCTGTCCTTGCCGAATTATCCATAACCCCGAATGATGTACAATGGTACTCCCCAATGCCTTCTGTATTATTGCATCTTAATTCAAACAAAACTCACCAACTTCGCGCATGACACGAAGGCCCTCTTGGTAGTTGGGGCCTCCACGTCGCACAAAAATGCTCACGCCATTTTCCTTTAGACGAGCCCGGAAATCTTTGATTGCTCGCACAATGCCCTGTCATGTGAGTAAATAGATTGCAGATTCTCAAGCACCACAATGAATTATACATGAACATCACCAAAACCAAGCTCAACAAAAATAATCTAAATTACTTGCATGAAAGGTATTTCAATTTAAAGTTGCAATTATGGTCATTAATAAACTTTGGGATCTGTTTCATTCTAATGTAAAATATAATGGCAACAACGTACTTTGAAGGTTGCAGCGACGTTTGTGAAGTTAGCAATGCCTCCTCCAATGATGAGCACTTTCCCTGAAAGAAAATTAGTCTGATGTAACAGAAGTCATCGTTTGACCTTTTAAGAGCCATAAAACCAAGGATATTTTCTCAAAAATGTTCAATAGGGCCTCTCATTGATAAGATGAATTTAAACAATTCACATTATTCTGGTAACGTATCCTATAGACCCTGCATTTACTCCCAGGTAGCAAAATGCTCTGTACCAGGGATGTGCTCTTACCATCAGCGTGCTTTTCACGAGTCATGAGTGACAGGATGGTTTTGGCATAGTCATATGTCTGCTGCTCACTGGGTGCACCAGAGTACTCTCCATAATTAGCAAGCTCCTCCATTGCACCCAGATCACAGATGGTGTCACTATTTGAATGAGAATAAAACAGAGGAAGGACATATTCAAATTAAGTGACAAAATATGCATCAATTGCGTAAATTGACATTCAAAAGTACAGCTGGTGACGTTTGAAATAAAGACTCAAACAAGTTATATTGAAAGCATTTATCAATACGAAATTGTAAAAATGTATATATTTTTTAAGCAAATTGAACATTTTCAAAGACCTGTAGACGACAGATGCCCCTCCACCAGCTACCATGGTCCAGATCCGACCCCTGGGATTTAGGATGGTCAACTTCAGGCTGGCACCACTCTTCGCATCGAGATCAGCGATGTACGCTTCCTATTCACATATAAAACCAGTACTGTGAATACACTATTAGATGTAGACTATCTCTAAACCATAAGGGCATTGGAATCATTTTGAAATGCAAAACATACTTATATGACACTGGATAAACAGGGCACACCTGATACAACATTTATCTGTGAATATTTATGTGCAATTATTGAGACCAGGAAACAAAATATGCCCGTGTCAGATAGTTTATTACCTCTGGGTAGGCTTCACGGCCGAATGGGGGTGGAAATTCAATATCGCCCCATTTGGCCTTGCAGAGATAGTCTGCTGTGGCATCCAACTTGGCAGCCATATCCAGCACATACACCCCATCATCTGTTACAACTGCACCACACAAACAACACATCATTGCATTACACCCTGCAGTACACCAGAAACAACTGATTAAGCTATGCTTCAGTTTAGTACACAACAATTATGGTGATTAATATGCTGTCAAAAAGCATGGGGGTAGGTGAGGGGCAAGTCGTAAGGTGCTTGGCAAGATGGATGGTGGCAAAGGTAAGCAGGCAGACAAAATTAGACAATGATAGGTGCACTATACCAAGTGGATTTATCTCCAGGTAAGTGAAGTATAGGTCTTCAAACAACTTGAAGAGCTCAGTGACAAAACTTGCTAGAACCCTGAAAAAAGCAGACATCTTTAATTACTGCATTTATGAGTGACTAGTATTTTAAAAACATTATTTCAATTAAATTAAAACGTGTTTTATTTTAAATCGTTGGTACACATTCTCATACACATCTTTGTTTAACAATAATTAGAAAAATTGTATTTAAAAAATATGAAAACGTATCATTGTTCATGTGTTTACTTAATTATTCACTCAATTACAATAAAACTCATGATACACATGCATTATGTAACAGTTTTCAACAACATGCGTTTGTCCTTGGAGGAGTTTAATTAGCAATAATAACTAACTTTTCAAGCTGTGGGACATGAGATCAAGTTACATGTGATGACATCATAGCATTGACTGCCAGGGATAATCCTTTGAGTGCTGTTTTATCACCAAGTTCATGACGACCCTTCAATCAATTTGGTTAGTTTTCTCTAGAACAATTGTGCCCATCTACCCCCTACAGACAGATGGATTGACAGACAAGCAGGGTCAGCACTCATGCATTCAACCTTAGTTGGAAGGTGTTAACACATTTCCATCAGGAATATTATACATTGTCTATTATCTTATGGACAAAACCAGCCTAGCATTGCTGTACTCACTCTTGGCGGGGACCAGGCACGTTCACCAGAAGCTGCGTCTTCACCTGTTCTTGCGTCAGGCCCTTGTCAATACCCACTAGGAAGCGCAGAGCCTTGGAGTCCACATCCCCCACGTCGACCCCTCCCTCGTGGTGGAAGAGCACCACATCACCCTCGCGGGTTGCGTAAATGCACACATAAAACTCCTCCTCCTGCCAGAAACGGTAGGCGGTGAACTCAATGACATCTCATGCAATAAATAATCTACAACTTTAATATTAACTGAAATCAAGCCTTCACTAAATAACGAAAAGTACATTCAATATTTACAAAGAGTGGAATGTTAAATATGAAAATTGTATTAAGGGCATCTTTACTTATCAAAAATTAACATTCATGTATTTATTTATAAACTGATACATGATGCCTGTAAACTCTGTAATGTGAATAAACATCAGCTTGAGCTGAAAAATATTTTTAAAAAATACATTGTAAATAAAAACAAGTTTCAGACACAAATTTAACTTTGACATGCATTTTTAATGTTCAGTATTTTTATTCAGTGCACAGTATACAATCTGCTACAAGCCAGTGAACCAGGCTATCAACTACATTAAAATGTTATGGTATATATACTACCCTAATATAAACAGCGAATGAATTGATATCTCTTGATGACTATAATTTGTAGAAAATTGCTTATTTTATCATATTACCTGTTGGTGGGGTACAAAAGGTTCAATTATAAAGTTCTTCAATATGCCTGAAGCTGCTTCAACCTGAAACAAAATATAAAGAAAATGTGATTATTCAGCATTTATGAGTATAAATGAATTGAACAATTCCTTCTGGTAAAACCACGATGATAAAATATCCAATTATCTGTAAGCGGACATTGAAAACTATGAGTAAACATAACATCAAAAATAAAATCAATCTGCTATCATATATAGCTAAAACCACACAAGCTGTGCAAGCACTGATCCTTTACAACATTAATAACCTGCTAATTGTAAGCTCAGTTAAATTTCTTCATGATGAATAGCTTAATTTGTGTAAACAAAAACTGACCTGGATCTCCTGACCTATTCGCGTTCTAATCCACTCCTGTACACCTTGGAAATCTAAGTTGACGCCAATCAGTCCAAGCTTTCCACGGCGCTTAATTAGCTGGTCAGGCTTCACCACCAGCCTCTGCAACAAAAGCAACAAGGAGTATTTGATAAAAAAAAAGTAACTTACATCCCTTTTGTCAATCCACTGCTGGTTGAAGGATTCCTATTCTATTATGGTTGTGGTGGCTGTTTAATCACTCTTCACGACATTGGTAAGTGCAGGTTGGTGAAGTGCGAAGGACCCAGGACTGGTTCAGATATCACTTGACACTTACACAAGCTGTTGCCGGAATACATCTCAGAACGACAGATAACTAATAGGGAGGATGAATCATTGTGCCACTGCTCACTAATATTCTTAATTTTCCTTTTCTACATTTGGGAAACGCGTGCCATTCACTCTTTAATGTGGAGAGATGGTCGCTAACAGAATACCCAGAGAACATTCAATTATTGAATAAATGTAAAACTACAACTATTAAGAATCAACTATTTTTTATTTTATCAGGAAAAGCCCACCGAGCTATATATACTCTAAACGCATGTTGATTCTAAATGTGGAGGGAAAAATCAGTGGACCTGGAGAGAAATTCACGTGACGACGGGGAGAACATGTAAACTATAAATATACAGGCGTCAGGGTTGAGTCAAATGCTAAATGTTTGCCAAGGACATTCAATTGATTTTGATAACGTTGGAGTGTTATGCAGAACTAATTATTACTGGCCAAGACGAGTTAGAGAATCAATCAAAATTGAGAATTCAAATAATTTCAACCACTCTGATAGCTACAGACTCAGTGCAGCCTGGAAGCGTATTATTAAGTAATACACAACACATTACAAATCCTTACAAGTGAGTCACATGGTAAGTGGCTGATCTGATCTATTACATAATTGCATACACCCCCACACCTGCCTGTGATCTCGAAACGTGATGAGGTTCAACAATGATGACGTCATCCGGAAGCAGGTGGATGGCTTCACTATTCTGGTAAATCGCCCGAAGATGCTGGATGTAATTTCCAGCGAAACGTCGTACTCAAATTGTAAATGTTGTGGATTCACTCTTCAACACACCGGTGGGCTAAAGTAGTGAACTATTTGTCTTATGTCAACGTAACACTTTTTACTGATTGGCCGTGTCGTTTGGTGGAGGGTTGGAACACATTTATGAATAACGCGATCTAACCCAAAAACCTATATGATGAATAATACTGGTCGCGAAAGCCTACGTGTTAAATTGCAAGAGGTGGCTGCAGCTTGCAGTGGGCCTTCAACATGCGGAAGTTTGACAATGACTGATGATGAATGCAGTTGCCTCGAATGGCCGCAGGGGTCACCCTTAACTGAATGCTTAACGTATGTTGAGCTCAAGGATTCATATGAATGTGATCGATGGATGCTTCGTTACGCATCAACAATATTGATCACTACTCATACAACCTGTCCAAAACTCGCCTTTACTAAATATTTATACATGAAACGTGTTAAAAGTTACATTCCAGTTTGAGTAGAACATTCAAGTCTTTATACTGGTTCCACTGGTCAAACTACTTTCAGCAGAACAATTTAAGTGTGTTCACAAGCATACCAGTCACAGCTGTGTAACAACATTTTCAATTCAACTCAGTTTTAGCTCACATGATCAAGTAGCCAGGGATGTTCCTGGACAAGCCGATCCCAGTCGGTTTCGGAGGTGAGGGTGGCATGACGCGATTTGTTTTGAACGGACACTGCAGCACTCAGATGTTTGTGCACTAGAAATTTCCCAGTCGCCTCACGAACAGCTTTTGCAGACATGACCTGAAGTAAAACACAAAAGCATACCATTTATATTCTGTAATTTCTCAATTTACCTGCATTCTCATGCCAGTTTAATTAAACTCAAAGCCTTATAATTCCTTCTCACAAACAAAGCAAGAAATCCACATTATTAATCGTAGAAGCCTTTATAATTATCAGTGAAAAAATGCTGACCCTAACGATAAGATAAAATATTTTCTTTTGTAGAGAAAACCTTATTTTGTACCTGCAATTGTATTACGAAAACGTTGTTTTACAGCTACTTCTTAAAACCAAATGAACAAGTTGCCAAGGCAATAATCAGTTTTTCGCCATTTAAAAGCTGCACTATTTTAATGTAGACACGTTTAACACCATTACAGTACAGAAGCGCAAATTACTCATTGCAAAAGGACACTACTGTCAAATACAAATGACCAAAATACAATGTTCTGAGCAATTAAGTAAAATAAAAAAGATATAATTGTATGTAGTCACACTACTCGTATTCAATTTTATAAATTAACCTAATTTTTGTGGGACCTGACAGAAAAACACAATACATTAAATTTACGGGACACAATGTCTTATTGTGTGCATGCATTCCATGACATTAACTGCAAGTGAACTGTGCTATACGGGCAGAAAAAAAAACACTGGTTGTAAATAACTTACTACCATTAATTTATAACAAGCGTGACCAAGTGTCTGTAAAGCCCCTCCGATAATGGTCTTGGATTACAGTGCATAATCACACCAAGTGGAAATGGTATGGAGTTTAGAAATGCTATTCCATATAAATTATGGATTTTCACAACCTTAGTTGCTGTCCATTTTAAAAAGCAAATAAAATGATAATGGAGTGTTTAAAAGACAAACATTTGCATAACCCTACGCCAAGCAGTACAGTGGTAAAACGGCCACATCGAAAAGGCAATGAGCAAGAAGATAACCTCGTTGTTTGCTTAAACAGAAAATACATACAATGTTTACTCGGTTGTCAGGTTTTCCCTGGGCGGTGTGCATGCTAAATCTGGTTTACAAACTGATGACACACATTTGGCCGACTTGTGAAATGTGATCACTACACAAGATCCAGGTAATTCTCGCTTAAAGTTGTCCAAGCCCGATCACTAGTGATATATCAATACAGCTTTGTAGTCTGGTTCATTTGGCAGACGGTTTATTGTATTAGATGTGGTATAAAGTACAATATTTTGGCGATTGTAAAGTTTTAAGGCTCATAATCCATGCAGAGAGAGAGGGCTTTAAAATAGTGAAACGCCAATACAGTACATAACCATTTTATCAATCCACTGCGTGACGTGGACCTGGCCACCCCGTGGAGGATATTTGACCATACTTCACCACACTGGCCAAGTACGTTTTGAAGGGGAAGCATACGCGATTAAGCATTGTACAAATACGATGGATTTCCCTGCACTGCCATATGCTGACGATACAGCCAGGCGGAAGCCTGCATCTATTATGCATAATGGTCTCCCGTCAAATCACTATCCAGGCTCAGGGCTGCTTAGCTTCTAAGATTTGACGATGTTTGGGCGCGTTCCATGTGCTTTGGCCATAGGCCGAATTACACAATGACACACTTGTTAACTCTGTATATGGAATGTTAATAATATACCCCATCCTAAGTGTAAATGTGACGATGTACGCACTTTCATCACTAAACCCCTGGGGAAAAGACCACATTTAAACCAAACCGAAATTATGCGTGGAGACAGTGAGAAATGTATTGCGTTTTACGAGGAGCCTAGCATTGGTATTTCAATGCAGCACAGTATAACTTGCAAGTGCAGTCCCTGACTTTGAATATGGGTTGTGATTAATCAATTGTAATGGGCCCAGTGTCATCCGTCACAACAGACTAAGCACATGTAATAGGATCAGAAGCACGTGGCTAGCCCAATGCCACTGCTGACAGAATTCATGTACAAAAGAGAATCTGACATTACACTATTAAAAGTAGTTGGCACATTTAACACTGCAACGTGACCATCATTCATTTCCAGCCTATTTATGGCAGCTGGGTCTCATGGTTTGTTGGCATAACGTGCTGACATTTGCAAACTAATGACCATTAGTTAATGAGCAATTGATGCTGCTGTATTTCATTACGGTAAAGTACAGTCGCGGCCACAGCAATGTGGAGTGAGCAGACCACATCAACTCACGAGTCGTCCAAATGACTGCAGTTTATTCACATCAGTGACTTCCTTACATCACAAACGGAGTGTTATACCGTACACAACCGAGCTCAGCGATAAGCAGATGGGGTTCATCACGCATCGTCTGCTGAAACCCTGCTAGATAGTGTGTTGTGGAGAGTAATGCAGTTCTTCTTAGTGCTATTAGTATACAGTACATCAATTAATAGTCTACTGTATCATAATTCAGAATGGGCCCAAGCCTTCAAATCGTCAGCCGAGTCTCTCGGGACAAACCTCAACTCTCACCATCAACGACAGACGTAGCGACTCCTAACACCGACATATCTGTGATTATAATCCAAACTATTACTAAATAAAGTACAAATTACACATATCTTCCGATGAGCAGCACTGACGTGTATTAGAAATACGTCCAGCAAAGTCACCGTGCGACAATGTGCAGTCAAACCGCTAAGTAAGCGTGACGCGGAACTTACCGTAGAGGCCTAAAACAAACGCGAAAAACCACAAGGATAAAAACAATCACCCGATTACGGATAAAATGTTCCTGTTGTTGCTGTCGTGAAGTAGCGTTTGATATTCGCCCGAGACGCTGTCAATTGCTCTGTTGCACCGAGGCGAACGCTTTCCTGCCCCGGACCTAACTCAAGCCGCAATGAATGAAGGGGGGTTCCGGGTGAGGGGCGTGGCCAAGAAGAGAGGCGGGGCTTCGCGGCAAGGGGGCGGGGCTTCGCGACAAGGGGGCGTGGCTTCGCGACAAGGGGGTGTGGCTTCGCGGCAAGTGGGCGGGGCTTCGCGGCAAAGGGGCGGGGATTCGCGGCAGGGAGGGGGGTGGCGTGGTTAATCGGTCGTGGCGCGAGGGGGTCTGCGTTGGGTGGGGGGGGGCTGCGTGCCCAGACCACAGCAGCATGCCCCACAAATCAGCTTCTGTTTGGACGGATAGAGGGGGGCCAAACGGGCACGACACGGGCTGGAGAAGGGATGGACTTCATGCGGTACGGGAGGATGTGGAGCTGAGTGGACTTGTCGAAAAGGCTTGGTACCAGCGGTGTCAAGATCGGCCTCTATGGGAGGGCAGTTTTGAGGCAGACGTGAGGGGACGCCCTACTGGGCAGTTGGTGGCAAGTCGCCCCTCCAACAACGGAGGGCAAGAGGAGCGATGCTCACAACAACGAGCGGCGGATTAAAATGCAGCAAGTTGGCACAGTAAGGGGGTAGAGCGGATGCCAGTCAGTCAACGCCCATGGGGTTATGGGCCGTGTGACCTCCTGCCCAGCAGTGACGCCTTCGACACACTTCATTGTGACGTCACAGTGCACCTGACCTGGCAGAGGCGCCGTGGTGACGTCACCGTCACTTAGTGACGATTGGGCGTGGGGGGGGGGCTACGACGGGACGTGGCTTGGAGGGGCTTGGTGGGAGGTGGGTGGGGCTCGCCTCCAAAGTGGGCGGGGCTTAAAGCGGAAAAGGGGGGGGGGGTAGCGATCACGCGCCACTTCTGGCAGACCGCCCCCCAATTCGCAAATGCGGAGCTGTGATTGGCTAGGAGCGTATCGCGTGATCTCGCCACTCACCCCCTCCAATATATACGGGGTCATCCCCACACACGCCTCCACCACGCGCTCTTACGTGGCGCTTGGATAATTAACATGCCGACACGAGGCGACGTGGGCGTTGTGTATCAGACGCATGTGCGGGTTACGTTGATGTTTAACAATGAAGACTTTAGGCCAAGCAAAGTTAATAATCCACTCCATTAATAAAACTGTATAACACATTTTTTTTGTTCCTGTGTAATAAGTGTTATTTCCTATTCGCTTATGCCTCTAAATTGCAGAAAATTGCTATTATTCCCCACAAACTTTGCTTTTGTGACCAGGACAGTGATATTTTGAAATTTACACAATTAGAAAATTAGAAAATAACATTACCCAGGAACAAAAATCGTGAATTATCAGAGCTTGTTTGCTTGTTTGCCACAAGTATGTGTGGGTAATGCAGACTTCATTCCTTGCAAAAGGTGTCTGATGTTTGAACATCTTAACACCTGTTTTATTGCTACTGGCAAAATGGTCCCATAGATGTTTAAACAGCCAGTTTTAATTCTTTGGTTCTTTCGGTAAAGTCGCGTATAAAGATAAAATAATAAATTAAATTATTTGATCTTAATACGTGACTTTACCGAAAGAACCAAAGAATAATTCCTGCAGTCACGAAAGCTCCAATTTAAGCCAGTTTTAATCCATAATGTTGCATGTAAAGGGATTTTATTGGGTTAGATCGCGTAAATATAAATGTGTCGTTAAACAAGCCACCCCCTCAGCCAATTAGGTACCGTAAATAAAACGTGCCAATTAGCGATTACTTTAGCACACTGGTATGTTGGATAGTAAATCAACAACATTTACAATTTTGAGTACGACGTTTCAGGGGTGATTACAACCAGCTTCAGCCGATTTGCCAAAATCACCTTCATAAAGAACAGTCGTAAAACAATGTAATTGCTAAGCAATATTTGGATAATAAAATGATATGCAATGTGTACACAATTTCTGGTCGAGGACATGCAGTTTGTTTCAGTTGAGGGAAGTCGATAAAGACCCTTGCCACACACCACTTCACGCAGATTCCTGCCAACGAAGGGAGCTGCAATTGTGTCCAGTAATGGGAATTCAGAGGTCGTCGATTCGGTTCCATATTCTGGCGAGGCAGTAGAAACAATTGATCCTTATGGCGGTACCCCCGAAGTACCAAATAATACAAAATGGTCGAGGCAATGTATAGTATGAAAGGCCGAAACACCCTAGGATCCAAAGGGTCACTACTGACGATGCGCTCCCCAAATTTCACCAGGCTCACTGTTCATGAACTCTTGGAAGTGCTTGCACAAAGGATAGTAACATCTCATCCTGTGTTCTTTGGAATCTGGGACACAATTTTTTCCAGGGGTGCACTTAACTCCGCGACTGGGGTACCAATCAATCCCAAATCAGTGCTCGACCGCGATGTCGAAACGCAGCGAGGACGATTGCGCTGAAACCCTGAACGCTCGTACGCACCATAGTGCACCGTGTACAGCTCGTCGAGATGAGTCGATTGACGCATCGTCGACCATCGACAGACTAAAAAAAACTCCATAAACATTTCTTTTTTTTAAACAACGATTTTATGAACAACTTCATTTCACTCACGGTCGAGAAGTACGTCAATGATGTGGCGCCTGCTCCCACATCACTTACTTGAATTTAATAGATTACTTTATAAATGAACTTGCTTTACTAACACGGCTTCGCCCGGGACTTGTATTCACCACTCCCGGCCGCCTTTGTCTCCCCAGTGGCGATGTTCACACACCACACCAGTTACTCGTTTGAGGCTGAGTCGACCTAGGGGAGGCCCAGGACCGGTTCAAATTATCGTCACTGGTGGTGGCCGTGAGCAGGAATACGAACTCGGGTCGCTGGGTTCGTAGCGCAGCGTGCTAACCACTACACTACCGCTCCACCCCCCCACACACACATACACGCGCGCGTCCATAGGTACACATACACGCGCTTGCTGCAGACACAACTTTTAGGGTGCGTACGGCAATAAACGACTCAAATAATAAACCAACGCTGCGCGAAGAACGCCTTAGACCTGCAACACATTTGTATGGTACTTTACTCGCGGAGGGTTGGGGGGGGGGGGATGCGTGACATCAGCAGGCACACTGCCTAACGCTTCCGCATGCGGGTGACATCACAGATGTGACGTCACAGCTCACTTGCCGTGCAAAATATATCCATTATTGCGCCCCACCCCCCAATTTTTTTTATTATAAAAGTCTATTTTTATACTTTTTGCATGGTGTACAGTCTGGAAACTACCCACATGCTAAATTTCAAGTTTGTTGCATGTCTGGAAGTATGCTAAACATTTTGAACAGACACACATTCACAAATTTCCCTTTTATATATATAGATCTTCAATGTACAACTTTTGTTTGTGTGGAGTGAGGGTGCCCGTAATTCGTTCACACGGAGCAGGCGCGCCTGAGACACGTGGCGCCTGCTTCTTGGGCGAAGCGATTCGAGAGTTTAGGGACCACGGAGTTTTTGACCTACGCTAATATATATATAAATAATAAGGCGTCAATACAAATGTTAATTGCTTTAAAGGAGCGAATTAATTGATTAATTGATGCCGATTTTGATACAGACATGCATTGTCACCGGATCTGAGTACGTGTGCAAATATTGGAATTGATTGGACAACGGGAAGTGGACGAAATGTAGATTACAAGATTTGACCACAACACAGGAATCAAGTTAAGTAAAACCGATAAAATGACTGCTTCACGGACATTATGCGAGAGCCGGGTTACCGCCATAAGGTTCAATTGGAAAAGGTTATTAAATCTCGCTCCGCCCATCCATTTCTGTCCACCCAGCATTGTAAATACGGGTACTACACATTAACAGTGCTCAAACAGCAAGGCCCATGTCGTGGGGCAAAGTGTGGCCAGCGTGGAAGAGTAAACCGAATACCATCTAGAGCAGTGTTCACTAATATTCAGAGGTGGCGGGGGGGGGGGCACTTTCCCGATAAGATATCAGTGTTGAAGGCAGTCACATTTGAAACCATTGGATTTTGAAACCATTGGATTTGATAGCACGATGGGGGTATTTTCACAATTGTGTATTGTCAGGTGCCGCACTAAAGGCCAGCAGGGTCCGCCAGTGGCCCGCGGGCCTTGTAACGAATAACACTGCCCTAGAGTTATTCTGTAATGATCTTAATTTTTGGAGCTTTCGTGACTGCAGGAATTATTCTTTGGTTTTTTCGGTAAAGTCACGTATTAAGATAAAAGAATAAATTAAATAATAGCATGTATGCTATTATTTAAAGAATAAATTAAATAATAGCATGTATGCTATTATTTAATTTATTCTTTTATCTTTATACGTGACTTTACCGAAAAAAACAAAGAATTATTCTGTAATGATTGCACTAATTCTTGGCACGCGTGAACAATTAAACCGCGCCGTGGTAGGCCCAAGAGTAAATATAAATGGGTATATAATACATGTTTCAGCTGCCACGCCGGGAGATAGAATCGAACCGGCGACCTCTGGATCGCAAGTCCAGTGCGCTGCTGAGCGTTAAACTGCGTCAGCATCCCTTTTGTGTTTAATTTGTTGTTCTTTCCCCGCATCTCCGATTAGCACGGTTGGCTACGTATGGTGCGAAATCAGTTCAACATACATACAAAAATGTGCAGCTCTGAAATCGCTTGCTCATGAAAGGGCCTCCACGAGAGGGAGCTCTAGACGGTACTTGATCAATTCTTCCACATTGGGCGATCTCTTTACGATCGAAACCGATTGACTGCTGGGTGGACAGCGGCGGGGGACATTCATGAAACTTGCACATTGTATCAACTGGCATGCCGGGAGATGGCAGATCCAGTGCGAACTGTTACACCACGACATCTCCCTACGTTTCTCAGTTTAAAAGGTGAACATTTTTTATTTATGTGCTTTTCTGTGTGCGGCAAACCAGTTAACTTTTTTTTATCTGGTCATGCGAAAAACGATTTTATGAACCCTACAAACCCTTTTACCACTCCATATACTCACATCTGTAAATGACGAGAAAACACCATCATAGAAACATATTGCAGGCC